ACTCCAGCCTGGGCAACAAGAGCGAAACTCCGTCACAAAAAAAAAAAAAAAAATTAAATAAGTTTATATGGTACACGTAAAGTACTAAAGAGAGTGGCCTGATGTAGTAAATGTTTAGTAAATGTTAGCCATTGTCATTGTTACTCGTTTGTCACGGCAGCCCTCTATGGTTGATAGTATTGTGTCCCCACATTTTAGAGAGACCTTTCAGGCTTAGAGAAGGCAAGTGTCCATGATCACACCACTAGGCAGCTGGTGGATCCTTGCCTCAGATCCAGGCCCCTCTAGCAGCAGCCTCCACACTTTTAACCTTACATTGTGTAGCCTCTCCCAGCCCCCTGCTTCTGGTTTCTCATCATGTGCATGTTTCATGCAAATACCTTTGACCACTCTAGAAAGCTCAGACCTCGAACATTGCTGTTCCCTACTTAAAATATTAGTAACTCTTAATATTTGATATTTAGGTCTGTATTGAGAACTATTGGGCTATCGCTTTTGTGAAGGTTTGGTTTTTTTTTTTTTTTTTTTTTTTTGGTTTTTTTTTTTTTTTTTTTTTTTTTTTTTTTTTTTTTTTTGGTAGGTCGTTTATTTTTTTTGAGACGAAGCCTCACACTTTCGTCCAGGCTGGAGTACAATGGCATGATCTAAGCTCACTGCAACCTCCACCTCCGAGGTTCAAGTGATTCTCCTGCCTTAGCCTCCTGAGTAGCTGGGATTACAGGTGTCTGCCACCACACCCAGCCAATTTTTTGTATTTTTAATAGAGACAGGGTTTCACTATGTTGGCCAGGCTGGTCTTGAACTCCTAATCCCATGATCTGCATGCCTCAGCCTCCCAAAGTGCTGGGATTACAGGCGTGAGCCACCACGTCTGGCCTTTTTTTTTAATTTTTTTTATTTAAATAAAGCATACAAGCTGGGCATGGTGGCGCGTGCCTGTAATCCCAGCTGCTCAGGAGGCTGAGGCAGGAGAATTGCCTGAACCCAGGAGGCGGAGGTTGCGGTGAGC